AGTGACTTGGCCATATGGGCTATAACTATAGTGAATTTTCTTCGACTTTGCATATCATCGACTATAAGGTATTGAAATGAGTAAAAATTAATAAGTAATACAATAAAATGTACTCAGTTATCGAAACACAGAAAGGAAAAATTGACTGTCGACAAGTGGAGAAAAAAAACTGTCGAGAAATCGGGATTAAAAAGTGTGTCGACCGTTTCGGAAAAAAACAGTGTCGACAATTAAAGACAATTAAGGGCCTCTCAGTGTACCATCTGAAAAATGAATTTCTACAGCCAAAAAGCGTACCACCTTACTTTTGTTTGAGGCATTGTGTCTCAAACGTCCAATAAGAGAGACGTCCCTGCATTTGCGTGTTCTGTCTCTCTACGGAAAAGAGCACAGATTAGCATACAGAAGTAACCGCAGTTCAATCTTTTGGCCGCGGACAAAAGATTAAACTGTGGCTAGTTCTGTACGTTACTGATTCTATATGATTTTATATGACCATAACATGTAGTTATTTAGTTTCTTATGTCAACAATCATGTTAAATTTGCGTGGTTAATATGTTTTGTATTTGTTAAAAAAAGTTACTTTGCTATCCTACAAAAATTGTACTACCTCAAAACTTGTATGTAAGCATAAATATTTTTCTGCGTTTGACGATTTCTTAAACATTCTGTACTTCGTTTGTAGAAACGAAACAGCAGATATGCTAAATTGTAATACTTTTGAGTTGTGTTCTCGTCATGATGTACGTTTTCTCTGTTTTTATGTACCTGTGGATAACTGTATTTGTATTACCGAATATGCCGTTGCATATCAGCATAATTGATGTACAGAAAAATTAGTAAATAAACAACCGTACCAAAAGAAAAAAATATAAACTTAAGCAGCGAGCAGTTTACAAAGGCGAGGTTAGCAAGTCCAAAGAAAAAGGAGTTAACGTCACTTGTAAACGCTTCTGAATGGGAACGGAAGGAGAAATTTTACAAGATATAGGAACACAGAAGCAATCCGATGAAATTTCTGTTCAAGAATTATATTTTCCTACTAAAATCCTAAATAATTCCTGCTACATTATTATTCAGTCATCGCATTTTCTTGTTAAGAATCTGTTAGGATCCTAACAGAATCCTGGCAAAGCCTACGACTTTCTGATTTCTTTAGGATTCTCTAAGATTTCCCTAGGAGCTTACCAAAAAGCCAGCTAAATCCTGGCCGGATTTCTCAAAGATCCCGTCAAGAAATGTACAGGTTTCTTACTAGGGTCAGCATGCTTTTATTATGATCAAACTTTGAAGATAAAAATAAACTTAAACTTGTCTATGGTGCAGTGTACAACTACATTGCAAACACAGAGAGATTCAGTTAGGTTGTGTACACCTATTCTTTCTTATTAAACTATCGGGATGCTGCTATCTAATGTATATTTTTGCAGCTGTCATCACCTGTTGTCAAAACAAAAAATATTCACACACAGAATTCGATGTTATCTGATGCCAGATTCCTACTTTTCTTAATCTTCTCCCTTCGTCTGTTGTGTTACTTTTCTCTTTGTCACTTTTTTTTCAAGATGATATATTGAATGATATAAAGCAATCCTGGATTGTGATTTTGTTTAGTGTCCTGCTCTGTTTAGTTTTTCTTCTTGAAACAAATTTCACTGTTGAACTGTTCTGATTTTAGTTTTTGACACTCTGCGTATTTATTCTAAGACTTCTTGACAGTTAGCATGTTTAACTGAGCAACGGAGATAGCACCCTAGATTCAGCAATCAGAGAAGGAACACAGATTTTTTAATACTCCTTAATTTCAACATGTTCTTGTTGAATGTGCTTTATTTGTTGAATTTTAACACATTCAATATTTTACAGCGACATATAACAAGTGTAGAAGAAAGAGGGTCGAAGGACAAATAGAAATTAATTATGAATTTTGACGCTTCAAGAATCATGTTTTTTTGATTGATCTATATGTATATAAAGTCTACCGAGAAAATCATTAAAAGAATCATATATAAAGTGGATAGAAGAACAAAATAGAATGGAAAAAAAAAATTTTTAAATTAAACACGAGCGATGCCATTTTTGCAACGATAAAGATGAGACGCCTTTTACTCTCGGTAGTGTTTTTTATTTGCGTTATTGATTGTTTTCGTATAAGCTATATAAGCGACATCATTTTAATATTAACTGATAACTATAATTATACTGAACTATTAGACAATATCTCATCGTGCCAACAATGTGTATGTTATGCATTTCACAATAACTCATATCCTGGTCTGAACTGTTTTACAAATAATAGAACGTGTTTAATATTTCGAAATTATTCGACAGTCTATTCGATACAATCAAGTATAAATTCCACATTTTGGTTTATTGAATTACCGCAAGAGATGCCATTAAAAAGTAAGTGCATATTTTCATAAAAATGACACCGGTTGTTGCTGGGCAAAGTAAATCTTTCTTCTGAACTGTGCAATAGAAAAGTAATGAAGTAAAGAGCAAAAATCGTCTTATAACTGGGGCACTTAATAAAGTGTATTAAATAAACTCCAAATTACTCATCGACTTGTAAAGATGATAACAGTAAACTCCTTTCATTCATAACTCGACGTTTCGAAAAACATAGTTTTCATTTTCAAGAAAAACATATATAAATAGAATATAGCATAACGTTAGAAAATTTCTTGCGTCGTTTTTATATGAAAAAACTTAACAATGGACAAATTTTTGAATTCGGTCTAAGTCATTAAAATTTTCAAAAAAAACAAGCAAAACTTTTGGTTTTATCGTTTTTTTTCTGATTTGGGCTGGATTTTCGCCTTTATTGTCATTTCTATCCTCTCAACTATCCTATAGTGGACAATCATGTGGACAGTAGATGAAAAAACGCAAGAGTATTTTTTCGAGATTCAAATAGTGTCAGCTATACTTTGAATCACGGGCTATTTAAGGGGGGCTTTACCCCCGTTATGATATATATTTTTTGATACCAGTTTGTAGAGCAAATGAAACTGCATATAATCTGAAATTTTCTCAGCGGATGGACGTGTTTTGACAGAGTTAGGCCTCTCACAAGTTATATGCCTTTATGCACCCCTTGTCGCTATAAAATTTCGGAAAATTTTCAGATACAAGTTTTAAACCTAATTCTGATATAGTTAAACAGAGTGACAAAAGTTGTATCTATCATAAAAAGGTTTCGATTATAGAACGAGTATTCTCCGAGAAATACTGGTTTTCCTGTAAAGTACGTTTTTCACTATCTAAAAGTATTTTTGGGAAACCTTGACTGAAATCTCAAAAGTACAGCACACTAAAATAAAAATCTGTTGTAACCAAAAGATGCGCCGTCAAATTCTGCGCATAGTGAGTAGCGCAAAATTTTCATTTTGAATAGATTTTTCAAACGAAAAACGAAGTTTCGCACATGTTCGAAAACAGGGAAAACGTTTTTTTTTATAGTCAATGTTGTTTTTAGTACATTTTTTGTTTCAGGTTAAATACATAGTTATATGTTATATAGCATTCAATAGAGCATTTCATCAGCTACAAAACTATGTATAAAACTGTGAGACAATGCTATTGTATAGTATACTTTGGTGAATAAATAGTTACTCCACTGGTTTGCGCTCCAATGAATTATACACTGTACAAGTTTTTACATAGGAACGACATGAAGAATTTTTCTTTGATTTTAAAGCTGTTTTTAGAAAAAAAATTATTCAAAAACTCCGTTGTTGGAATCCATTGCAGAATTAAAACATTGAAAGGAACGAGAAAAAGATTTTCCGAGGTGGACTAGAAACGCATCATTATTCCAGATTTTGTAAATTCCAGATTCATTATTCCGGGAGCTTTCCGGAGCCGCCTTTTCCCCCTAGGTTGAATTTCTCATTTGAATATCAGATAGATCTGTTAGTTAGCTATACTGAATCAGACGTTCTCGATGGAAGTCTTTGGAATGTGGTTGGGTAGTCAACAGTGTACCGAGGTTCGTTCAGGAAGCAAAAATTCTCTTCATAGATAGCAACATTATATTCGAAGTTAACAAAAAGTGAAGATTACAGATTAAAACCGCCACCACCATAATCTGTAATATCCAACTGAGCTTTTACTGTTTTTTGTCGACCTGCTACTTTTCGTTCAATCAGTTTTTGCCGTTGTTCCGTATTTTTTTGTGATTTTAATATTCGTCTGTTATCTATCACCAATAGATAATCGAATAATGCCACGTTAACCCGTACCTCACATTCTTTGAAAAAATCGATGATGATAGTTCTGCCATGGTTATAAAACATCGCTGCAAGAGCAGCACTTCCTCGTACACAACGGAACCCGTGGTGTTTTGATTTGCTTAAGATACTCCTGTAATGATAAGAACTAATTGAGTTTACATATTGACAGAAAATTAATAATATATTTACCAAACAATTGAGTTTAACGATTCATTTGAATTTTGTATTCAGCCAAGTAAGCAACGACGTAATAATTCTCTTGATGTTAACTTATAAATCATAGGTTGTAAAATAGCACGGAAAACTGGATCAAGAAAACTTCGATTTTTCTTTTTTTTACTTGATCATTATTGTTGTTTAATGAGTTTTTGTTATGATAGGTGCACCAAGTATCCTTTGTTTTTGGACAGAATTTATGTTGTTCTTTTCATCATGATCATGGGTCTTAATATAATGGTAGAACGCTGCTTTGCAATATTGTTGCATTATATTCAATGCTTCTTCTGTTTTTTTACCTATATACAGATATAAAAGGATTTTCTCAAATTTTTATTACGAAAACAAAGTTTATGAGTAATATCAGCTTATTTCTTACCAGCAGCTATTGTACTAGCTTGTCTTATAGCAAGACTATAACCACTCGATAGTTTTTTCATCATCTGACTTGTCATTCTTCCAACACCTTCGAATTGTGATCTTCATCGTAGTTTTCTTCATTAAGGGATGGATCATTAACACTATCACCACCTATATGATCACCTTCGTCAACTTTCTAAATCATCCTTTAGTGCTATTGATTTGCGTTCAGTTTCCATATCATCATCATCTTTCTCTTCGCTTCCTTCATCACTAACATCAATATCACCTGTGTCTTCATCTTCTTCGTCGTCAACATCGATATCACTTGGTTCTTCATCTTCAGCATCACTATCCATATCACTTGAAACTTCATTTTCAGCATCACTAATATCATTTGCACCTTCTTCCATTTCCATATCTATCTCTCTTAAGTGTTGTTGTTGTTTGATATAAAAATATTTTACTGCTTCATATGCAGAAGCATCTCCATCACATACCATTTGTTTATAACGAAGATCATTACTTAATGATCGTTGAAATAATCTAATGACACCTTCTTTTTCCATTGACTTTGATGATCCATTATAGTTCTTGTGACAGTTCGTTTTATGATTTACATACCATTTATTAAATTGATTTTTCTTCAATTTTAATTTTTTTAAACTACACACTTCGCACTTCAAAGATAATACTTCATAGTCGATGCAACATCCAGATTGTACATCAGTTATAAATACAACCCCATAATTCGAAGTGTGACCACGCTTTTTCCATGTTCCATCTAATGAAATAGTAATATCCGTTATCTCATTTTGTTTGTTATTTCTGTATTTTATATCCTCAGTAATTAACTGGAATTTCTTTTTTGCAAAATCATGAAAATCATCATAACTCTTATGCAATTGTTGTAAGAATGTTTTCTCCGTCGTTATCGATAGGCCCAATGATGATAAGATCCCTTTTGTTGCAACATAACCAATTCCATTAGTAGCAGTAGCTATGCATAGCCGTTTGTTCGGTTCTTGCTGCTCCGATTCAACTGGTAGTATTGCTGGAAAATTTGTCATAAGTGTTTCTTTAAAACATTTTGAGCAGCGTAAAACATTGTGGTGAAATAATCCAACTGGTGGTGATACATCCGATATGAATTCCAAACGTCCTCCGTTTGAACACATGTGTGCATTATTGAAAATTTCTCGAAAATGTTGAATATCGAAGATTTGTGATGAGTTTGAGCTAAATGGTACTTCATAAGCATTAAAGACAATTTAGGAAAACAGAGTATATTATAACTGATTGTACGACATATAATAGTGAAGTGAATGCTTTTGTCCTGATACATACCGTTTTAATGATGGGAACGGTTTCGATGACAACTGACCTTTAGTTAAATCTACTTTATGCGTTTTTCTTTAAAAACGACGTTTTCTTTTTTTCTTGCCGAAATGCGCATTTGTGGCAATTCTCTCAGATGCCCCAACACCAGTTAAAAACTGGTGCATGCCTATGTGCCGTAGTTAGTGAGAAAATACTTAATGAAAATTTCGTGTTGAAACTTAGCTCCTCAGAAAAGCGGTTCGATGGCACCTGCAGGAACAAATCTTCTGTTAAAAATCGTCCATAATCTCAAACTTGACCTGTCACCCTATTGATTCATTAAAAAAGGGTTTCTTTCAATCATTTCTGATAGGAAAAAAGCTAATTTTTTTCTGTGCTTAGTGCTTTTCCAAACGGATAGTTTCAGTAAAATTCTTAGCAACATAAAATAAAGCTGATACATACTTTTTCCCCCATACATATACTGATGATAGGAAAGAACGCTTAGGCTTTCGACTAGGCAAACTAGATAGGTTTAGAAGACGGGCCATCACAAGGGTTCTACCCGTGTTACAAGTATTTGCTAGTCATTTCTGAAGCCCTCTCCACCACGAACTCGGCCTGAATCGGTTCTCTAGGATCATGTTCCTCTCTTCAAACACTTTCTTCGTCCATATCTACCGGAAAAAAACTTCAACACTGTGGAATCGATCCTAGGGATAGTTGCTGCTCACTTTTGCGTTCAGTTGAAGTTTGATCAACTGCATCGAGTTTGCCTTTACATTGTTATTAGAAGGGGAAGAGTTCCTCTGGAGATTCCGGACATTGGATACTCCGGCTATCTGCCTTTTCATATAGAAAATAATCAAAAATCCTGTTTTCTGTAAACTATCGATGATCCTGATCGATTTTACAAAGTTGATTATCCATTCGCCTGAACTTCGTACGAGAATCGGAATATCTACTTGGATATTGAAAAGGAGGCTTGGGTCATTCATTATAACTGGATCTGGCAAAGAATGTTTATTGGAATTGTTGATTATCCGTTCGACACCGTTTTTACCCAATCAAGTCAAAAACTACTTTTTGTCTAACAGGATCGCTGTCAAAGGTCTCTATTTGCCATTTTCTGATTTATCATAGTCGGTTAACTCTACAGCGAAAGTTTCATTATTGCATGTCTTATTCGTAGTGCGAAATAAGGTTTATTTTTTATTCATGTGGAACAGACAAACGATTATTTTCGTATAACCCTTACTTTCAGTAAAGCAAAAACGGTAAAACTGGAATTTTTGCTAGTTTTTGAAAATTTTAGTGACTTTAGCTGAATTCTAAAATTTGCCCACTGAACTCGATGAGCTCTAACTAGCCAATCAAAAAGAAACAAAAAAGAAATTCTGTGGAAAGTTTAACTTGCTGTGGCTTTAGCCGCGCAGTTATTGTCTCAGCAATTCTAAAATTCTTATTCGTAATAAATTTAATATTACTTAGCATCTTGAAACATTTTGTTCGTGACTTATAGATATCATTAGTAACGAGATGTAGCGGTTTTCATACATGATCGAAAATCGCCGAATTCTTCCTCATTGAAGAATATAGACTATGAATGACTATAGATTTTTTTGATTCATAAAATTTATGTTGCATTTAAGATTTAACATTTGTCATTGTGCTGTATATATAAATAATTCATCGTAATATAATGAGCAGGAATTTCCTGTACACATCGGCTACTAGTTTTTGTGTAAAATACCGAAATAAACAACATCTTGCATCTTTCCCTAACATTATTATAATTATTTCTCATAACCACACAAGAAAGATACTCTTTTCGGCAATCGAGAAAAGTCACGCAAAATACATGTCTTTCTCTGGAGAAAGACTGTCGATGGGAAAAAGAGAATTCTTTGTGTTGTCTTCAATCAGACCTCAATTAACATCAATGTCTTTGATACACTACTTCAGCTACTTCCGTCTTCCTTTTTACCCATCACTCCACCCTCTTCTGGTCACATCTCTCAGCGTCCTTCTAGTTTCACTGGACATCCAGAATAAAAGAATGCTTTCTAGTGCACATGCTGCAATTGAATTTCAATATTCTAGTACACATAATTAGATTAAGACACGTAAATCAGGATGGAAACAATCGATAATCTTTTCTTCATCATGAGTTCGTGCTTTGTTCTGCTTACAAGATCGTCTTTATTTCTAGTGATTTTGGACAGAACTTTGATAAATGAAGTAACAGGACTTTACTTTCAACTCCGCACTTGCTTTTCACGGAGCTATCACTTCAAGCTAGACGCTTATCGTTTTAGCAGAACTTCAAGAACAGGATGTTGACATCCAGAAGTGTAGATCCTGTCCCATCCTACTTCATATTTGTTCGCATCTTGCTTCCTTTCTCCATTGGCCTAGATGTCCTTGATGAATAGTGAGCTGACGAAAAAAAACTTTATTATTAGTTTGTACGAGAATAATAATAAAACTTCCTTTCCATCATGTTGTTTTACAACTGCAAAAAAAAAAGAGTCATTTGAATGATGTCCTCGTTTATCGTCACCATAGTTTTCCCCAGCAGCGTTACAAATTAGATGCATGAGAAAAAACTGATATGTTAAAAGAAATTCTTTTATTTTCAAGTACTCTGTTTTTTCTCTCCTTCTATGAAGTCTTAATGTAAACAAAACGTACCTTCGAAAAGAGAAAGAAAGAAAAAGTAAATTCTTCTATCGTTCAAAGTTATTTTCGACAACAATTTTAAAAATGAATGAAGCGACCAAGAAAGAGTCAGTCATATCAGTTCTATTTCTGGCAATCTGTTACTCTCCTTGTTTGAAACACATATAGCCTATTCTGAGTCCTTTCCCCATGAAAATTTTGTTTCTTAAAAGCAAGCATTTCCTGAGACGTGTGCTAATGAAAGTTTTATTTCTTGTAAATAATTTTCACCGAACTACTAATCCGTCAACCAGTCAGTGAAATTTTAATACAAGCATGATAACAGCACGTTCTTATCGTATTACAACCCAGCTCAATTCGGGCAAAGTTCCTTCGGTTATGACTTTTTCTGTCGATTGGTGTTGTATCGTTGACACGTCAGACATGCTCTGATATGACTTTCAATAGAATTCGCTAGCCAAAATCTGAAGCTATGTTTTCATAAGCAAAAACTGATTCTGTACAGAATCAGAAATTCATTTCATTCTAAAGTAGGTTTGCATGGATTCTAACTGAGTTATGGCTCAACGTTTTTTTGTTGAGTAAATTGCATCTAGTTCTTGTCGTTGACACGTCTAACGACAAACTCTAGGAGGATAAAGAACAGAATAAAGTACTTCCAACCAAGGTGTGTCCGCTGGCAACAGCAAGCTTATGGCACGGATTCTCAATAACGTTCCTAAGAGCGTTTTCTCCACGGAATTACTGAGTAAAATAAAAACATTGTCTCCAAATTCAAATTGTATGTGTTACTTTACTCCATTAAAAAAATTAAGAAAAATAATTGACGAATTATTCACACTTTCGAATTAAGCAAACGGAATCGCCTATTAGGTTCTCTTCCAAGGGGGAAAAAGCATACTTCTGTACTTCTCGGTACTTCTCCGTACTTCTTGATACTTCACGGAGAAGTACAAAAAAGTACGAAGAAGTACGAAGAAGTATCAAGAAGTACGGAGAAGTACCAGAAGTACAGAAGTATGCTTTTTCCCCCTTGTTCTCTTCACACAGTGTGCATTTTTCCATAGGCCAGGTGAACATTTGCTATGGAAGCAGTTCGAAAGTCTATAAACACTTTTTTTATAGGTTTTCAGATATGTTCTTTCCAATGGTGTTTTAAGAAGCTCAAAGAGGCTTTTATCTGGGTTCTCCAGAGATCGGGTCTCTAGAAAACCCACACATAAGTATTCTGGAACTTTATAAAGCGCATCATAGGAAGAAGCATATCTAAAACCTATAAAAAAAGTGTTTATAGAATTTCGGACTACTTCTATAGCAAATATCAAAATCCTTAGACGAAATTGTGACTCGATGCTTCGAGTTTAGCGCTTCGTTAGATCTAACAAGTTTTTGCTCAGGAAAACTTACTAATCGCACATCATTCGATGCAGTTTCTTGCGCTGATTCTGAATATGTCATTTTTATTGGATGAAAACACTTCTGGGGCGAGAAAAATGGAAAGTATCTTCAGAGACTAGTGAATTTTGGAACATCCACAACTGAGGACAGAGAATTTTTCGCTAACTGTATGCATGCGTCCTATATAGTTCAACATTTCCTGAAAGTTTCATCTAAATTGGAGTTTCGCTTTTCTTCACGCATGCAAACTTACTTTACTGAATGCAACTCTTTGGAAACTCGCTAATAAAATGTACAATAACTCGTTTCTATCTTGAAAACTCTTAAACTAGACATGTTTTTTAGCAATCGATAGGGGACTTGACAAAGATTAAGAATATATATATATTTTGTTTGAGCGCTTACCTTTTTGTTTGAGCGCTTTACCTTTTGTGTTTAATTCAGTTTTCCGACAGTGCCTCTTTTTTTAGTGTATGATTTTCCTATATGATTTTCCTAACATAAGTATGCCCTAAGAAAAATTTCCTTCATACACATCAAAGTCAAGAGTCCAATACTTATAAAGCTTAGATGCTGCTTGCACAAGTTAGCGGAGGAGAGTGGGTGCGTAGTCTGAGTACGGTAAGAAACTTTGCAATTTCCTAATTCACATGCTCCTAATATTCCGAATGTTCCTGTAGTTTCTTTCGTCTGTATTCTTCGTTTATGAAATGCAAAGTTTCTAATTTTTCCATACGTTGTGACCGTAAAATTTCATTTGACATCACTCTTCTTTGAC